GGGGGTGTAGATTTCTTAAAGCTTCCCTGGGGAGAATCAGGAACAGGGGGTGGCAATACAAGGAGGGAATTTGGCTGGTTATGCTAAAGATTTAGCAACCCCAGGAGGTGCTGCGAAAGGAGTACTGTGAGTTCCCGGAGCGCGCAGATCCCTGGCGACCACGGGGCGGAGACTCCGAAGCAGGAATCCCACGATTGAGCTTTAAATTAAGGCTGTGTGTGATTGGTGGAAATTTGGCGGGAACAGGGAAAACGCTATCAAAGGAAGTGACGTCAGGTATCATTAATTGACGGGGGTGGGATTATTGGTCCTGAGTTGCGGAATTATTATAGGATTGGTTGTATTGACACCTTCAGCATCTCGCGCATCCTCGCTACCTTTTGCACGGCCTGGTTACCCTCAGTAAAGATGGCCGCAGAGGCTTCCTGCCCTACTTGGAGTAAAGTGCGTGTCTTCCGGAGCGTGGCCAGCTAAGACCGGAAAAAGCGTAAGGCTCGCGAGCATTGATTGGCTGTAGCGAGTAGCGTTATGGACACTGATTGGCTCCGCCTTTCGCGGGAAGGAGTTTGTGGCACCAGCGAAAAGTAGATACAGTTTTGCGACCGCAACAAGGTTCTGAGGTGTCGGGCGAACCCAGCAGACCGGGACCTTCTGGGTGTCTTTCCTGAGGGAAACGTGACCAAGATGTGGAATAGTAATGATAAGTGGGGCTGAAGATGAGAGTCGCAGGGGTTTAGCAAAGGGAGCGGGCATCGGAGAGGCGAGTGGCGGCGGGAGGGGGAGGTGCTGGAGCCGCCCATTCGGCGTTTGGGGCCCGGGACGGGTGGTAGGGAAGATTAGGTAGATGCTGCGAGTATTTGGGTGGGGGAGTGAAGTCTGAGGGGGCCTGTGGATTTTTCAGAAGTTTGGGAAGCACTCAGATACTAATACGGTTGTTATTTAAAACCAGGTGGATTTGAAAGCTATGGCAGCTCCACCTTTGGGGGAGCCGGTGGCTACACACAGTCCCCTGGGGGCTTTGGATCGCCGGCACCTTCTCAGGCTGAAAGGAAATCAGTAGGTTGAAAGAGTATTTTATTTCATCTCTCCTGAATCCCGTAACTCATCCATGTGAGAAAATGTATGCGGCGAAGGAAGGGTGTAGAACATGAACTAATTCGATAACTGTCAATTATTATCTTCCCGAATCTTATAAGTGCTATAAGTTTGAAAAAAGGAATCTCCTCAGATTTTGCATCCACTGTTTCCTTGGTTTTGTTTTGAAATTATTAACATAGGCAATGTTTTGGGGGAAACGGAACTTGTCTTAATAGCCTATTTTACGTTCTTTATGTATTCAAAGTCTTTTTTTATTAAACATAGTGGGGTCTTTGAAGTCAAGTAGATCTGTTCTCTAACATGCAGAGTATAGTATCATTGAACAACTTTTTTTTTTTTTTTAATATATCTTTATTGATTTCAGACAGGGAGAGGGAGAGGGAGAGAGAGAAACATCAGTGATGAGAGAGTCATTTATCGGCTGTATCCTAGATTGACGCTCAACCTCTGGGCTAGACCGGCTATTATTTTTAAAACCTGAGAATTGGAGCCGTAATACATAGTGTCCAGAATCAACTTTGTCTTTTAACTGGCAGTGTGAATTTGGTGAAGCAACTTGAACCTGTGGTTTTAGTGGCCTTTGATTTTTTTTCCATCTGATAATGCTACTAGTACTACCCATACCACAGGGAATTGACAAATAAGCTAATGTATAAGAAAGTGATCTGTAAAAAGCTGTCCAGGTGCTTGTTATGTACTCTTTCAGAAAGAGTTTGCATTTAACAGCTGCTGTGGATTTCATTTTTAAATACAGGGTTAATTTGGCCTCTTTAGGTGTCATTCAGATGTGATGTTAAGATTCACCATTAGAGATCCTATGTTTTGTCTACAGGTTGAAAGCTTTTACCTGAACTCTTAATTCCAGGGTGGGTGTTGGTGAGGAAGAATTCATTGATAATTCTCATACATTTGGATATTGCTTTAAATTTTTCATACAATTTATTTAATATAATCCTATAAGGTATATATTGCTTACTCCATTGTACAACAGAGGCTCGGAGATTAAGGGACTCCCTAATAACACAATAGGTAACTGGAACCAGACAGAACATACGCATGACACTGGATCCAGAGGCAGCTGATCAATGACTCTCTTTCATCATTGATGTTCCGATCTCTCTCTGCATCTTCATTCCTCTCTCTGAAATCAATAAAAATAAATTTTTAAAAAATTTAAATTCCAACTCCAGGAAATCCATTGCTCTATGTCTACCCTAGAGAAAAATACTAGAAAATGTATTCAAATGGTCATAGTGTTAGTTTGAAAAAAAGAATAGTTATCAGGTTACTTCCTGTTCATTTCTGACAGGAAGAACACTACATCTTTAATCAGCTATGCTTTTTCTGTCTTCTATATTACCCTTATGAGTCTGTGGGAGTGCATATTTGGTCTCAGCCTATAATGCTCATTCCTCAGCCACTATTTTTTCAGTCAAAATTTTTGTGCCTAAAATGCTCCCTCTTCTCGAAGTCGCCAGTAAATTTTTCTGATATCCCACAGAGCACATCTCATTCTGTAGTGTATCAAGATCAGATTTGTTATTTGTATTTTTACCTACCCTAGGTTTGGAGTGTGTTAAGGGCAAACTGTATTCATCTTTATGTCACCCAGACAACCTCTGGCCAGTCGTAGGCAAAAGTAAGAGTTTACACTATTGTTAGACTGCTTCAGGATGTGATTTGAGTGTCGTATTTACTAGACACTCTTCTGCCCATCACATCCTGCCCCTTCCCTTTAAGATGTCTAGTGTGGCCAAGCTCTTATCCCATTTTCCCCAGGACTTCCAAACGATTGTCAGAACATCTGTCCCAAAGGAAGTCATGCTTCTAACTTTTTGTTATATTTTATTAAGAGATTTAGAGCAAGTCCAAAGTTCTGTCTCCACTGGCTATTTCTCAAACCCTTTCCAAATACCATCTCAATCTCACCACCGATGAACAGCTAGCTCCAGCTTGCCTTCAGCCTAAAGCTAGAATTTCCTCTTAAAGGTCCGTTCAGGAAGCAGGTCATTCTTTATGCTGTGTCCTCTCTGGTCTACTCATTTTGGTGAATCTAGTACAACACAAACTTACCCATTCATCAGGAGCTTTGGAGTCAAACAAACCTGGGTTTGAATTCTAAAGTAGCATTTGTTAGCTATATGATCTTGGTTTCCCTCTGAAGCAAGAATGAGGTTTGTTTTGAAGAGCCAATGTTATAATATATGCAAAGTGTTTGGCACATATAACAGGTGTTAAATGAGTGAATTTATGCATATTCTTTCTTCCAGAGAGCCCGAGCCCAGCACATTGTACCTTGTACCATATCTCAGCTGCTCTCTGCCACTCTGGTTGATGAAGTTTTCAGAATTGGGAATGTTGAGATTTCACAGGTACAAAGAATGAAGTAAAAATTACTTCATTTAAAAATACATAAATGTTGCTTTGGTTTCAAAGTAAACCAGACTTTTTTTTTCTTCTGATCTAGGTCACTATTGTGGGGATAATCAGACATGCAGAGAAGGCCCCAACCAACATTGTTTACAAAATAGATGACATGACAGCTGCACCCATGGACGTTCGCCAGTGGGTTGACACAGATGTAAGCAGTTTTTGAATCAGGGTAGGGTTACTTTGGGACTTTGGAGATGTTAGACTTCTTTATTCTTTTTAAAGGTTCTAATTATAAAAATAATACTTAAGCAAGACATCAAAGGCAAAAAAACCTTAAAATGAAAGGTTAATATATTTGATTTCATAAAAGTTTAAAACTTTCTTAACTTTCCAAAATACGGTAAACAAACTTAAAAGGCAAGTGACAGGAGGTCCTAGAATGTAAACTCTGAGAACTGGGATTTTTATGTTGGCACTGTATCCCCAGCACCTAGAACAGTGCCAGTTACATAGTGGGCCCTCAGTAAATATTATTTAAATAAATGGGGAAATTTTTTGTCACATATTACAAACATTTAAAATTTTTAATTAATAAAAGCTCTTACAAAACAGAAGAACAACTGCATTTTAGAAAAGTGGGCAAAGAAGATGCACAGGTAATTCATTACAGATGAAATATAAATTGTAACAACTAAACATTAAGATACCATTTTTAACTTGCTAAATTGTCAAAGAAAAAAAGAATGGCACCTGCCAGCTTCTGATGAGAGCAATAGCTAGCACAGTGCCTCTAGCACTTAGTAAGCACTGAATTTGTTAATGATTTGTCAGTTTGTCTGGGGAAGTGGATACCATACTGCTCTGATGGTATAAGTATAAGTTGGTATAACCTTTCTCAAAAATCAGCTGATGATCAAAATAATCCTTCATAAAAATGTTGACCTTGCACTCCACTGCTAGAGGTTTACATTAAGGAAATAATTAAATACACGTACAGTTGTAAGAATGTTGATAATAGCATTATTTATAATAATGAAAAATTAAAAGCAATATCAAAATGCTAGCAGTAGGGTATTACTAATTAAACCATGGTATATTTATAAAATATTCCAAATGATGTAGAAATGTATGTTTTGTCTCAAAGAAATGTTTACCATAAATTGTTGAGAGGAACAGGTTAAAGATAGTTTGCATAGTAGATCCCCTTTTGCAAGAACACATGTATGGAGAAAACAGACTGAAAGGAAACACATGCTTTTTGTCCTTTTTATTTTTTCATTGGGCAGAAGGCCTCTTGGTTTTTTATGTTGTTGTTTTTAAAATACATAATAGAAAATTTGGATAATAAACACTTTCCACTTCAAAAACCACAAGTCATCTATGGAGAAATAACTTGGTAGTTATTTCTTTATTTTTTGCTTCTCAGAAAAACACAAGATAATTTATTCACTAGTTATTGTTGGAATACAGATTCTAAACCAAACTGCTTGGTTCCAGGTATACAAAGATTGAAAAAGACAGTTCCTGCCATCAAGTGGGGAGGTAGATGTTAAAGATGCCTAATACTACATGTTCATACAAAATGTACTGTGCTTACTTATAAAACATTTAAAAATCACCTGAAATTCCGCATCCCAAGATGCCTACTGTTATAACACATTTTGGTAAATACCTTTCAGACATTTCTCTCTGCATATCTGTACATATAATAGATATATGCATACAGTTTTATATAAAGGATGATATGATATACAACTAATCTGCACTTTTCATTCAGAACTGTGTTGTGGCCCTAGCTGGTTTGTCTCAGTGGTTAGAGTGTCAGCCTGTGGACTAAAGGGTCCTGGGTTCATTTCTAGCCAAGAGCATGTACCTTGGTTGCAGGCTCGGTCCCATGCGAGCAGAGGCAACCAATTGATGTGTCTCTCACATCAATGTTTCTCTCCCTTCCACTCTCTGAAAAGCAATAGAAAAAAATATCCTTGGGTGAGGGTTAAAATTAAAAATTTAAAAAAAAGCTGTGTTGTGGAACTGATTTCTTAATGTCAATAAATATAGATTTATATCATGATTTTTAGCAACTGCCTATTCCGTCATAAGGATACATCATCTCTTACTTAACAGTAGACCCAATCAGGGAACATTTAGCTTGTTTCCAGTTATTTGCTATTATAAACAGTGCCCCAAAGAGTACCTTTGTGTGCATCTCTTCATGATTATGAGGTAATCTTCTTAAGATGAATTCTTAAAACTAGATTTTCTGAAAGAAATATACATTTTACTTTTTTTTTTTTTAATTAAAAAAATCTTACATTTATATTTTCATGATTTTCCCCCCTTGCATAAAGGTATCAATTTGTATATTTCATTAGTGCATGAAAGTGTCCAGTTAGCTCTCCACATTCTTTCTAACAATGGGTCTTATGAATTTTAAATTTTTGTTTGATAGTTTTTAAAAATAGTCTTGTCCATGAGAATTTTCTCATTTTTCACTTGTAATTCTTTGGTTTTAAAATTTCAAAATTATATTTAATGTTAATTTGGGTGTTTTATCTGATATAGGTTCAGCTATGTAAAATAATCGACAGATGGAATGAAATGCAAAAAAATAATTAATGATCTCCTGGTAATGGGAATTGGGTGTTTTTTATTTTTAAAGACATATTTTATTTTCTAGTTTTTTATAGTCATGTGTTTTATAATCAGAAAAATCTTTAAGACTCAGCTTATATATTTTTCATATAAATAATGTGTACATATTCTAGAAAACCCCAATTATCCCAGTTAACCATTGTTAACTTTTTTTTTTTTTTAATATATCTTTATTGATTTCAGAGAGAGGAAGGGAGAGGGAGAGAGAGAGATAGAAACATCAGTGATGAGAGAGTCACTGATCGGCTGCAGCCCGCAACCCGGGCATGTGCCCTGACTGGGAATTGAACCCTGATCGCCTGGATCCTAGGTCGATGCTTAACCTGCTGAGCCACGCCCGGCCGGGCCATTGTTAACATTTTGATGTGTATTTTTCCCAACATGGGAAATCGCCTTTTTACTAGGTGTCACTACTGGTCTTTCCAGTTAATAAAATTCTACATTGTATGAATGGATGCCTGATGTTGGATATTTAGGTTGTTTTAAATTTTTTAGTATTGTAGTCTAAGCTATGATTAATATTCCTAAAGCTAAATCTTAATGCATGTTCTTAATTATTTCCTTTAATTCCTAAAAACAGAACTGCTATGCCAATAAGTAGGTCCACTATCCACCAGAAAGTTTTGTGCCTAAGAGCATTGAATGAGAGTGCCATAATTATTTGTTTTTTTATGATATGCATAATATAGAACTTTGGAACTGGAAGTTACCTGTAGATAGAGATTTTTTTTCTAGTTTCTGATTTTACAAAAAAGTAAATTCTAAAAGGTAAGGCAAACTAGTTAGTGCCATATTAGGATCCTATAGCTCTCTCACTTTATAACTTTCTGTTTCTGTACATAACTTAGAGATTTTAAAGAAGCTCTCACCAACATTACTAAAACCTTAGTAATATGTTTGTATTTTATCTTAGGATGCCAGTGGTGAAAACACTGTGGTTCCTCCAGAAACATATGTGAAAGTGGCTGGCCATCTGAGATCTTTTCAGGTGAAGTCAGAAAAAAATCACTGTTAGAATGTATTTTCATGGGCCCTGGCCGGGTAGTTTAGTTGGCTAGAGCGTTGTCCTGATATGCCAAGGTTGTGGGTTCGATCCTCCAAGATAAAAATTAAAAAAGTATTTGTATGAATAACAATTTCTGGATTCATGCCTACACTTAGGACATTTCAGACTTAACTAAGTTTCCATGTTTAATGGGAGTTACATTGAAGTTATTTTCTCTTCTTCAAAAGGAAATTTTTTTTTACCTTAATATAAAACTAACAGAATGCTAGAGAAAGAACAGGATCTCCACCTGCAGTTGTCATGTATGGCATCCATTAGGTGTAGATGGGCGGACACTAGATTTAGAGTCAAGATAATAGGCTCTGCTTTGCTTGGTTTTATAACCTTGGGCAAGTCATTGAACATCTCTGAGCTATTTTATTTTAATGTAATTTATTTTATTTATCTTATTTGACTGTATTTAGTTTAACCTTGAGTTAAAATTTTTTGAGTATATACACATTTTTCCCATGTTAGCAAAATATTATAACCAAGAAAAGAGTCATAGTGTTTTGACCTGAAATTTACTTGAATGTGCTTATCCTTTATTCACATTTTTTTCTTTAATAGAACAAAAAAAGCCTAGTAGCCTTTAAGATCATGCCCCTGGAGGATATGAATGAGTTTACCGCACATATTCTGGAGGTGGTGAATGCACACATGATGCTGACCAAAGCTAACAGCCAGGTGAGCAGCTTCAATCATGGTTTTCTTTCCCCCATGAGAGTATAGACAGCTTCTGTGTTCTGGCTTTGATTAACTTGACATTTTGAAGATTGAGTCAGAATAAAGGTATCTTAGTTCTTAAAACATTTTTTTCATGAGATTTGTCATGTTATTTTATTCCGATGAAACACTCATGTTCCTCTCAGCATTATGAGTTCCTCTGACCCTACTGGTGTGGGTGATTGGGTACTAAGACAGCCTTCAAGTATAGACATGTATTTATAGTCTGGGCTTTTAGCACCAGGGTTGTCAGTCCATATTCAGAGGAAAACCTCAACTAGGACAGCATTTTGCTGCTTTCCTTCCAGCGTATTGGCTAGTTAAAGTTTATTCACCATTATTTTGTCCCTGAAATTATATTTCTTGCTTCATATTGAAGTTGCTCAACAACTTTATTTTCTGTTGTATGAATTCAATTTGACCAAGTCCATCTAGGACCACACAAAGGCCTTGTTGATTCTAGTATTAGAATGCCCTTAGATGATTCTGATGGCAAGACAGAGGACTGATTACAAAAGGAGAGACTGATGAGCTATTAAGGACGTTATTGCAGCTTGTTCTGTGCCAAGCACTTTGGTAAGCACTGGGGATACAGGGGATACAGAGAGAATTCATTCTTTTCATTTGAAAAATATTTATTGAGCCTAGTATTTGCCAGTTATTCTAGGTCCTTGGAATATAGCAGTTAAGATGAATAAAGTGTCTGCCCTCAAACTTCAGTTCTTGAGAGAAATGGGTGATAAGTAAGAATTAATGTATATAATTTTAGATAGTTCTGGGTGTACTGAAATAAAATAAAACAGAGTAGGAAGAGAGAGTGGTGGCAGGAATGAGATTGGTGCAGTTTAGATAGGGGATGAATGCTTCAAGCAGAGGGAGCAGAAAGGCAGAAGCCATGAGGCTGGAATGAGCTTGGCATGTCTCAGACCAGCAAGAAGGCCCAACTGTCTGCAGTGAAGCAGATGACAGGGAAAACAGTTGGATGTGTGCAAGGAAGCAGGACTCAGATCATGTAGGGCTTTGTAGGTTATAGTAAGGATTACTTTATTCTGATTGATTCCAAACCTTTAGAAGGTTCTGTCTAGGGAGTGAGGTAGCCTGATTGACCTTTTAAAAAGCTCACTCGGGCTGCTGTATGGAGACTAGACCATGAGGCACCAAGAATAGCAACGGAAGTAGTTTAGGGGAATAGTAACAGCAGCTGGAGTAAGTGGTTGGATTTCAGTATCGTTTAAAGGTAGGCCTGATGGCTTATTGGAGGATTAGATACAGGATATAAAGAAAAGGGAGGGTTCAAAACTGACTCCTAGGTTTGGGCTCGAGCAACTAGATGAAGCTAACAAGTTTGCAGGGTAAAATCCAGAGTTCTGTTTTGGACTAACCAAGTATGAAATGCCAGTTCCATATCTAAGTGGAGAACAGAATAGATGGTTGAATGTATAAGGCTGGGACTCAAGAAAGAAGGGATATAAATAGAACTTTGGGAGTCATTGTCATATAGGTGATATTTAAAGGCTTGGATGAAATGACACAGCTAGAGAGTTAAGAGGTCAGAGACCTGAGCTCTGAAACACCTTTAGAAGTCTGGAAGCCAAATAGGATCCAGTGAAAGTTGAAGAAGTTGCCAGTTTGGCAGGAGAAAAACCAGGAAATGTGATTTTGTAGAATAAAGTATTTTAAGAAGGAGGGAGTAGAGATGAATTGCAGAAGTCTACCTGGAAGTCAAGTAAGATGATGGAAGCATTCCAAATGCTGTTGAATTTGGAAACAGATCTTCAAAAGAGGCTTGAGTTGAGGATAGGGGGAAAGTGGGTTAGAGAAGGGGGTTGGGTAGAAAGTTTCAGGAATTTATTTTATTCCTATACTTCATAACATACAGGGTGAGGCAAAAGTAGGCTTACAGTTGTTTGTATGGAAAATAATACAATAATCAGTAAATAATAATATAAGAATAAACTGTGTTTGCATACTCACAACTGTAAACCTGCTTTTGCCCAGTAGATGGATCAAATGTTATAAGATACAAATGGTTTTAAAGTAAGAATGGGTAGTTAGGGAGTGAAAATTGGGAGCATAGACAATTACACTGAGGAGTGAATAAATGGTCTTTTCCCTCAGAGTTTGCATTAGCATTGGGGGTTCAGAGCACTTAAGTAGTAAGTGGCAAGTACAGGGTGCCATGGAACCAGAGAAGGGTTTCCTGTCCTGACTTGGACATCAAGAAAGGCTCCCTGGAGGAGGTTATGCCTAACCCAAATCTTGAAAAATGCATGAGGTGAGGCCACTTGAAGCAGGACTTGAGATCATTTCAGCAGAGGTTACCAGGGAGGAAATAGTATTCAGTTCAGTATTACTGGTCATACAGTGTAAGACTTCTATTTCACCAGCAGGTAATGCGAAGGTGTCTAGCTTGAAAACAAAGGACCATGACTGACTCTTGGTGTTTTGTTTTGTTTTGTTTTGTTTACCTCAAAGCAGTAGATGTCTAACAACATTTGTTGAATGAGTGAATCTCCTGACTGGATGGGATTTCTCCTAAAGAGCTTCCAGTGCTCCCTCATCCTGTTAGGGGTACTTAACATTTGATTCGTCACCCTTACGTATTCAGTTCAATAGATTAAACATTGATTGAGCATGTACTGTCCCCCAGGCACTGTGCAGAGATGAAGGAGCTTGTGTGGAAAAGTGGCATGCCAACATTGTGATGGCTGCTGTGAGAAAGAATAGGCCCAATGCTGTGAGAGCCAAGAAGGATTATGACTTAACTTGGCCTTGGGAATATTAGTGAAGTGTTTACCAGGCAGACGAGGAAAGGAGCATTCCAGACAGGAAACACTGTATTCGGGTCAAAAGCATGTTTGTGGATGGCAAGAAGTCTAAGTGCAACTGGGTGATAAAGTGTGCTGAAAGGAGTGATCAAGAATAAAATACAGATTTTGACGTCTAGCTGTAGTAGGTCTTGAATGTCTAGGAGTTTTATATTGTTTTTGCAGGCAGGGGGAGCCACCTGGAAGCTTTTGGGCAAGGAAGCAACATGACCAGAAGTTATGACTTGGTAACAATGAGGAGGGTTGATTGGAGTAGGTTGATTGGTAGCAGCTTAGATACCAATCAGGAGACCAGGGGTGTTGAGGTTTGACTTGAGAGACACTGAAGATTGTATTAAAAGGCTGTGGTGAAGGGGTTTTGGAAGGTAAGCGAATGGATGACTGAGGTCTGCATGATTAGGTTTGGGGTTTACTAATTGAGATGGAATATAGCAGGGCAAGCAGGTTTGGGGAGGAAGGTAATGAATTTTATTTTGAAGTTTGAGATATCTAGGTGGAGGTATCCAGTAGATGGCAGGGAGTAAGGATTTGTGCCAAGGAGGTCTGGAATGAAATCCTGGGGGAACTATCAGCCTTTTGGAGACAGGTAGAAGAGGCTAATAAGGGATATTGAGAAAGTGTAGTTTGAAAGGTAAGTGGAGAACCAGAAGAATGTAGTATCAAGAAGCCCTGGGAGAAACTAAAAAAAGGTTTGAAAAAAAGAAGCAGCAGCCTAGGGAGGAGTATATTACGAGAGGATTGTGCTTAGCAGTTTCTCCTGAGAGGTCAAGTGTCATGAGGACTGAAAGAGACTATTGGATATGTTGGTTGAAAAGTCTGGTGGAAACAGTTTCAGAGGTATATTGGGGAGAATCCAAATTAGTGGGGGGTTGAGTGACTAAGGAGAAGGGAAATGAAAACAGTGATTATAGTCTTTTTTTAAATTTGGTTGTAAAAGAGAAGAAAAAAAGTTGATGGAAACTATTCTCCTTTTCTTTCCCTGTAACGCTTCATACCTAGTTGGCACTCAGTGAATGTTTGAGTGATTGAACACCAAGGATATCATAGCAAAACTCTGGATAACTTTTTTCTCAGTGCTAGTTTTCCTCTTGTTCCCCTCCCGTCACAAAGAATAGGAGCCAGGTGATACCTTCCTCTCGTTTGACATATGCTCTCCCTTCCAAAGTAAGTATTTGTTACTGGGAAAACTCTGCCTAAATTGTTTTTGTTTTGGTTTGGTTTTTGTAAGCTGCTTACTAACAAGCTCTTTAAAATAGCAAGGACTGTGTTTAAATTGAATTTTCTAATGTTGTGAACTTATTTCTTAATTCAGCCTTCAGCAGCGAGAGCACCTATCAGCAATCCAGGAATGAGTGAAGCAGGGAACTTTGGTGGGAATAGCTTCATACCGACAAATGGCCTCACAGTGGCCCAGAACCAGGTAAACGCTACTTGAGTGACTCCAGAAATGCAAAACACAGACTATCCTAAATTGTGTTATTTCCTTGATCATTCTGAGGCTGTCTAAGTACCCAGTATGATTCCTTCTTATAAAGACACTTAGGTTTAAGAGGGGGGCTGATTCAAAATAGTTGCTAAAATCTTTCTGATTTGAATGTTCAGGTGCTGAATTTGATTAAGGCTTGCCCAAGACCTGAAGGATTGAACTTTCACGATCTCAAGAACCAGCTTCAACACATGTCTGTAGCCTCAATCAAGTGAGTTATACCCATTTCATCTCATTAGAGTTTCCTGGTAATGAGAAGTGAGTTCTAAAAAAATATCTGGCCCTGCTGGGCGTGGCTCAGCAGTTGAGCGTCGACCTAGGATCCAGGCGATCAGGGTTCGATTCCCGGTCAGGGCACATGCCCGGGTTGTGGGCTTGATCAATGACTCTCTCATCACTGATGTTTCTGTCTCTCTCCCTCTCCTTTCCTCTCTCTGAAATCAATAAAGGTATATTTAAAAATAAAAATAAAAAATATCTGGCCCTGGCCAGCAAGCTCAGTGGTTAGAGCGTTGGCCTCCGTACAAGAGGGTCTTGGGTTCAATTCCAGTCAAGTGCATGAACCTGGGCTGCAGGTCCAATCTCTACCTCTGGTTGAGGGGGTGCAGGAGGAAACCAGTCAATGTGTCTCTGTCACGTCGATGTTTCTCTCTCTCTCTGCCCCCCTCCCTTCTACTCTCATCTAAAAATGAATGGAAAAAAATATCCTCACTTTTCCAGTGAGGAGTAAAAAAAATAAAAATAACAAAAAGTTTAAAAACTATCTGTTGGACCACAACCTATTGACAGAAGGAAGTCGTTCAGTCATGGAAAAAGAACTCACAAAGGTGGTGCTGCCTGTCACATCACTCATTCATTTATTCATTCAACAAATACTGAATCTCATTATGTGCCAGGGATATAACTTCGAGCAAAAATTGACCTGATACCTCTTGTGGATTTAATCTGGAGGAGCAAGGTCCTTAGCTCCTGGGCCTTAGGTGTACAGTCCCATTTGTGTTACCGTCCCCTCTGTGGAGATGTGTGCATCAGGCTGTCTGGACCTGAAGCCATTAACAGTCCTTTCAATATTCTTTTCCTGGTTAACATGTTAGACTATATAGTTTCCAGATTCCGGTGAACTAATCAAACAGACAAACTTGATGCTTGTGATAGCTGTTACCATAACTCAGTATGCTGGACCTAGACAGAAAAGAAATGCTCAGGTCTAATTCTACTTCCTGTCCTATAAAGTGAAGGTAGTTTCTGTCTCAGAGTTACTCTGTTGATGAGGTACAGAATGGCTGTCAGTAGTAGGTGTTCTATAAGTTGTTACTCTTACTAAGTAAATTACTGACACTGGCCCTGAGGGCCTTGAAGGTTTTGAAGGGCGGGCTAGAGTTTCAGTGGGTGGGTGGAAGGGGCAACTTTTAAAAATAGCTCTTTATACTAGATTTTATGTGCAAGCTGGACTACAGCTTTAGATTCTTGTTTTGATTTGCTTCAATTGGTATTTAAGTGAGGTCCTATTTGCCTTTATACGATTTGGAAAAGGGATCCAAGGCAGCCCGCTCCCAATAGCCATTGTCTTCGTGGATTGCTGCAGTTTTGCGATGTTACTGGCTTCTCTCCCTGCAAGAGCTTTCTGTGGGCAAATGGCTATGAACTCTTAACTAAGAAAGTGAGGACGTAGTGAAGTTTACCTATTTGGCAGTATCAGAAAGGCAGTTCCCTTTCTTCACCCTTTCCAGTGCCCTTTTAAGGTTGATACAGTGCCTTAGGAGGCTAACACAGAAGGGTAAAGTAAGTCTCCATAAAACCCAGAGAAGAGATGGTAAAACTCTTCTTTGGATCCTGTCTGGAGTCACAGCTAAAAAAAAAAAATTTAATGTAAAATTTTTTTAAAAAAGAAAATGAGCCTTTTTTTTCTTTCTTTCTAGGCAAGCTGTGGATTTTCTAAGCAACGAGGGGCACATCTATTCCACTGTGGATGATGATCATTTTAAATCCACAGATGCAGAATAACTGGATCTAATTGGATACCCAACATATTTTCCAGTTGGACCTATTTTCACAATCTGTTGGTTCCAGCTGTGCATATGTTTTGACTAGTTGACTTCTAGAAAGTAGGTTTCATCTATAAAAAGCCTCAGTCGACATTCTTTTGAAACTTACTGTTCTGTTTTTTCGAAGCTCAAAGGGAGATAGGCAACTGACAGAGATATGAACCAAAGTGGAATTTCTTAGTTACAAATTAGGTAGTTATAATAACATTTGGATAGGTGGAAGTGGAAGAGGGATGCTACCAAGAGAGTTGGGCAGTATTACTTAAGTAATACTCGGGAGTCTCTATTCCTAAAATATTGCCTGTTGAGAAAAGATGAGTATGACTAGGGCCTGTCAGCAGAGAGAGAGCCAGGAAACCTGCTCACTTCTCCCTGGTTGTGTTCCCCATTTTGGTTACGTGGTGGTACTTTCAGAGTTGCACTTCAACTTGTTGTGACTGCTGCCAAATGTATTTTTAAACATGAGGTTCTAGAGTGGTGGCCTCGTATGGCAGAGGAGGGGAGGCAATGTTACCATGTTTTGTACAAAATAAGTACGTCCATATGTTTAATAAAATAGTTATATTATTGTAGTAACTTGTGGAAATGTCCTTTTTTTTTAAAGTTAGTATAATAATAACTACGTGATCTGAGACAGTATAGCCTAGCTTGACTTGGATTTGACATCTTGGCTTTCCTTCTTTTTAGTTAGGATCTTGAGCAGGGTACATCAGCTCTGAGAGCCTCCGTTTATGAAAAGATGACAATGTTATTTCCTTATAGGTTTGTTATGAAAATTGAAGTTTGTAAAGCATCTAGCATTGCTATTAATGAGGGTTATAAAGTGGACCTTAATCTTGACTCTCTAGCAGTAAATGATCATGTGACTGATCAAATACCTACTATGTCACTTCTGGATGAAACTCAGAGGCCTTGGCTATTTTTCAGCCAACTTAATCAGCTCCTTTTCTTAGGGGAGATGAAACTAGTTTCAAGATATTTCTGACAACTCCAGAAAGTAAGATACTTCTTGAATGAAAGAGCTAATTCTGAGGCAAGTTAATGAGGTGTAATATGCAAATAAAATTTCTATAATTGTTTCAACTATGTTTTTAAATGAGATCTAGCATCTGTGTGAAGAAGGCTCCACCACCCTGGTTTGTAACTGAGCAACAATCTGGCTGTTATTTTCTACACATGCAGAGTAGTTCCTATCTTGGGAGCAGTGCAGATGTTTAAAAGTCAGCCAACCAGTATGCCTATTTGTTTCTTGATTGTTTCCTATAAAGGACAGTGAGCTAAAAATAGATTTAAAAAATCATACATTTGAATTTGGAATGCATGATACTTTTATGGGTAGTGGACTCCTCTTTCTAGTTATCAGGCTAGTGTCCTCAAATGGGCAAGGCAGTAGCCGTGGTTCTGGGTAGAAGTCTTTTTTTTAATTTATTTGCAAGTGCTTATCGAATATCTGTCAGCCCATCAGTCAGAGTATGTCAAGCACTAGGAATTTAAAGAAAAATAGGAGATTGGTGTCATAGGATATGCGGTTCAGCATTCCCAGTAGCAGAGTAACTACTCAGTGACACTGAGTTTCCGGCCATCTTGGCATTTACACCTTCTCACAGAAGTTGTGTGGTTTCTGAGCATTATGGAGGCCTGTGGGGTTGAGCATAGGCAGCCCATGCCTCAGGAGAACGAAACCCCACCCTTTCTCTACCCTGCTTAAGTGGGAGGCATTTGCACTTCAGATGTTTGTGGTCACCTGGGACGCATATAGTGTTCTGGTAGCACATGTTGAGACAGCATGAACCAAGTTCCTGTATGACCCGAGTTCTTAGAAACTACCCCCCGTGTCACAGCCACGCAATGAGTCCAGCCTGCTCTCCAGAGAGTCTCTCTAGATATACAGGTGGGAAGTTAGGCTCCTTGAGAAATGGTAGTACTTTATCGGGCTTAACTAAAGAAAGTCCAATAAGAATTAGTGTCTGATGTGAATTGTGTTAAAAATGTAGCTGAGAGAAATTCAAAAGTCATTGATAAGTATTTTTGAGCATACATCCCCCATTTATATTCATTTATTTAGCAGTTATTTACATTTGCTACTGTATTAGTATGTTATATATTATAGAACATTCAAGAATATAAATGAAAAGGGATATTAAAAATATGAGGTGATGTACTAATAACTTTTATATATCCCAGCGGATCATCTTGTGTACTCCCAGGTGTGGGTGCTCACTTTGGAGACCACTGCTCAGAGGGAATCCTTATCCCCATTGGAACACCCTCCCCACCGTCCAGTGGCTTATTCCAGAGGTAAAGAAGACAAAAGTGCCCTGAAGGTGGGGTATGCCTTTGGTCCATTCTGTGCTAACCCTCATGGCTCTGATCAGACATGCACAGTTATAGTTGTGAAACGTGTTTTCCTTTAAAGCCCAGTTTTCCCTTTTGTGAAATTTCTCCCTTTCTCATTTGTCCACTTAGAAATCCTCTTTTGTAGGAACTCGCAGCCCTCTTCTCTGCCCCACCCCTTTTTGTGATCTTGCTCAATTTGTTGCCAAGATTAAATGCAAACTGAAAACTATTGGCATTTTGCATGTGGGCTTGACCCCTAGCAGCTGTGCCAGGGAGGAACTTTGTGTCTCACTTTGTTAATTATTGCTTGTCCAAGGATATTCTTCCTCAGGGTCCTCCTGTGCAGTTTAGATGGTTTTTCTGGAGGAGGGCATGAGAACTGGCAGGGGAGATGAGGATGGGGTGCTAGATTCTTCACCTGGAAGACTCCGTGCCAAGGGTGTGGGAGCCAGGAGGCCTGGGAAGAGCAGTGGGTCCAGACAACTCAGAGGGATATTGGCAGGCAAAAGAATGACAAGCTTAGGTGTAGTGCCTAGAATCCAGGGGTTGGAAATTTGGCCCTCTTTTGGCTCTCACCTCAACTGGAGACTCATCATCTTTTTGTCTTCCTGCTGTCCTCTGCTGACCATGGTGGTTAATTCCAGGAAACCAAAGTCCCACCACTTCAGGAAATGAGACCTGTGGAAGCTGAGTTAAAACAGATGATTCCATGACTAGGAGACAATCTGGACATGTGAAAAGAGTATAGGTTTGACCTTGGTCAGTAATGATACATGTTTATCAACTGTTTATTATGTACCAGGTACTGTGTTAAATGCTTTACAAAGGTTATCTGATTTGATTCTTAAAACAATCTTGTGAAGTAGGTAACTCAGTTTCATTTTACATGTGAAGAAACTAAATCTTAGGTTAAAATAACCTGCTCATAGTCATAGCTGATAGGTGGTGACCTGTGGACCTCACTCAGCTTCATGACTAGTCTGCCTTCTGAAACACTTGATCACTCAAGCTTGTTTCCTGATCTTTAAAATCAGGCAGTTGTTTACCTCAGAAAGTTGAAGATTTCAATAGGTTTGTAAAGGGTCTGGCACAGAGTAAGTGATGTCTTGTCATTTTTCCAGAAGCTCAGGTGTAATTTTTATTTTATGGTTCTTGAGTGAAGTAATCTTGGGTAGTCACCTACAGCTGTTGTGTGCTAGGTGCTGCAGAGATGAGGAAGACAGTCTTGGTCTCTCAGGAGCTTAGAGCCTTGGCAGGGGAGAGGGAGGAAGAATGGAGTGGGAAGACGGTAAGGGGGTGGCAAACACAAAATGCTCTCAGTTCAGTGTGGTCAGGATTGAGTCCCCCTTTACCAAGAGGCAGGAGTCACTATGCTGCCATCACCAAAATTGGTGGTTTTGATGTCCTTTCTTACCAACCAGTGGGACAGCTGCTGTTGGGGGTGAAGGATTGAGTAGAAACCAGTTGGCTCTTCTGGATACCAACGCTCTGAGTCAGGACATCAAGTGTAGGGGCTGGCCCAAACAAGCGTGACCTCAGTGAACCTGAAGGTAGCTGTGCAGTGTCCATCCCATTGCCAGTCAGTCCCACAAAGCCGCGTCCCTGTCCGCAGTCTGATTTCCGTGAGACTGTCCAAGGTCTTCTAAAGGCTTGTAGCAATTGGCTGGGATCCTGGATTCCCTGAGAAGCAGCAGTTAGGAAGCATGGTTCCTCCAGCATCTAGAGGGTTTTCTGAAAGTGCTCAACTACTTCTTCGTAATCATGTTCATCTGCAAAGGAGTCCAAGTCAATGAGGATCTTTGGCCTGAAAGCAGGTCCCTTCCCCGACTTTACCACTTTAGGGCACACTTCCTTGCCTGGACAGGGAAGGGGCTGGTCTAAGTGCTCTAAGATTCTTCTAGCCCAGAAACTATCATTTCCTCTGACTGAACACTACAAACATTCCCCTTGCCTTGGGGAGGGAGGGAAGTGTGTTGAGAGAGGATCTCATTTCCCTTGCCAGGGCTCCGAGGATCCTGGGAGAGGAACAGCAGGGACCCTTCAGCCTAAGCCCACCCTATAAAGGCCTGACCATCCAGCTGGGACTGCAGAAGGGTCTGCGCATTGGCAGGGCCCTGCTGAATGTTTGGCCAGCACCATCAGAGGCAAAAGCGGCATCAGAGGAGCAGAGGAGGAAGGGTAGAAGCAAAGACATAGGTGAACAGCTGACAGGACTGACCTGGATCCAGTGTGTTGGGCTTAGTGGGCTTGAGGCCTTTCGTTTTGGCAGAAATCTTGCTGTAGGTATTTGATCTCTCCTCTGTGACGGCGGGCAGGGTATTCGACTTGAGTTTGGGCAGCAGAGGGGGTTGCTGCAGTTCTGAGACTTGAGAAGACTTATGGGGGAGAAAAAGCAAAAGTCATCAGGGTCCCAAGAATTGGAGCAGCGGAATCCATGAACTGTCATTTCCTTCAAATGTCACTTCCTCTGTTCCCTTCTCTACTTCCTTTTCAGGGTAGGGCTTCTCGGGACCCCAGGGGTTTTTGCTATAAGCACATGAAATGTTCTTTGACAGGGGAAAGAAGGGCCAGGGTGAGAGGTGATATGGTTGGAGGCTAGAGACAATATCCACATAGGAGTTTGGAAAATGTCCTTCACAGCTGAGGCGAGGGGTGGGGGTGGTCACAGCCTCAGGACAGAGTGCCAGGGCAGAGAGAAGCACCAGAAGGAAGAGGACTTTTATTGAACTACCTTGTGCCAGGTGCTACATGCATATCTGCTCATTTAATCAGGTGACCCTCTGAGTAGTCAGTTCAGTCCCCAATTTTGGGCCAAGGCTCGGGCCCAGGCCATGTCTGTCACCTCTAAAGCCAGTGCTCTTTCTACCACACTGCTGTGGAGAGCAAACAGTATAGCTCCATGACGAGCAGCAAAGAATACTAGTACCCAGAGAGGAAAAGCTGCTAGATCAAGGACAACAAGCAGGAACTAGGCCCAAAGTCACTTCCATCAGGAACCAAGGTGGGACTGAGGTGTCTGAATTCTTTGTACCGTATTTCCAGCACTGTTAGAAGGCCTTTATTTCAGATGTCTCAGTCCATTCTTTGTCCTCAGAAAACAACTGCCCCTCTTTAGATATGACCCCCTTTGGGGCTGAGACCCAGAATCCACCTTTTGAACTTCCACTGTGGTCCCACTAACTACCCACACAGTACAAACTACGAGTAGAGCATGGTGGTTAGCTGCTCAAGCTGTGTGGTCAGGCCCTACTTCAAACTGCAGCTCGCCACTTGCTAGCCATGTGATCTCAGGTAAACTACCTCCCGGCACTCTTGTTTTCTCCGAGGTACAAAGAGAGGATATCAGTGCCCACCTTGGGGACAACACGAGAGCTAGGTGGGGCAATGTATACAAGGTGCCTGCCACAGAGTAAGCACCCTGCAGGTGCAGCTAATGAAACAGCACTGTGAGTGATGTTATCTCCGGCTCACTGGTGAGGAAACATGCTCAGAATCCAGGCCACAGTGAGGAAACTGGGACTACAGCTGAGTCTTTCTGTCTCTGCCTGGTTCTTTCCCCCTTACTGTGATTCCGTTTCATTCAGTTCAGCACTCCCTGGCACCTTCTCTGCCCACTTTGGAGCGGGTGAGGTCCCTGCCCCCACAGAACCCTCATTCTAGCCAGAGAGATTCGTGTACATCTAACCGAAAACTATATGCCCCACCCCCAAGCTATGTCCAACATGCAGTGTGAGTACACGAGAGGGAGGACTCAGTGCCTAGGAGGAAATCTAAGCTGAGCCTTTCCCGTGAGCCTGAAAAAAAGAACATGCCTGGCTAAAGGGTTGGTGTGTGTAAAGTGCTGAGGCAGGAGTCCTGGCATAGTGAGGGAGCGTCAGGAGCTTCTCTGGCTGCAGTGTGGACTTCAGAGTGGGTGGGGGAAGATGGGCCTCGGAAAGTGAGACAGGTCAGCTTAGAAAGGACCCTGGAATCTATGTTAAGGGGTCTGCATTATCCCTTGGCAATGGGGAGCCACTGGAGGTTTCAGAAAATGGGGCCAAAACCCATCAGTGACCTGGCAAGGATTTGGAAAGCCATTCTGACAGCAGTGGTAGGGGTTGCCGAGGCTGCTGAAACAGTTTAGATGGAAAATGAAGTTTGAACTACAGAGTGACATCAGGGGTGGCAAAGAGGTAAAGCACAATGACCTTGGAATCAGAATGCTTACGCTCCAGCTCAGGCCTCCTGTTTGTTAACTGGCTTCAAGTGAATCTCAGAGTCTCTGAGTCCTCATTTTCTCAGCCATAAAACACAGATAATCACACCAACACCAGGATCGTCAGGGTGAAATAAGAGTAACAGGTGCAGAGTATGCAAGTTTATGAAGTGCACGTTCTAGACGATTGTAAGAAAGATGTGATGCCAGATGAAGTGGCCAGATTGCAGTGAGCCTAACAGAGGAACCCATCCCTGCCACCTCTGGTTATACTGGTACCTTGACACTTTTCTCCTTGCTGTTCTGTTTCCCCTGCCCGCTGAGGCCCGGACCCTTCGGGGGCCTGGGTGGGGGGCATTCGTCCTTGCAGGCCGATAACTTCCGAAGGTGATAATAGAAGGCATCTGTCAGCTCCTCCACTGTGGCTATGGGGAGAGACCCAGCTGGCCGGCCTGGGTGCTCCTCAGCCTTCACAACAACCAGGTCTAGCCACCGGGGTGGAATCTCGAAGTACATCCCAGGCTCAGAGTCCAGGCCGACCACCAAGAAGGGTTCCATGATCTTCTCCTCCAGCCGCAGGCCCGGGAAGGAGGACAGAGGGTCAGCAGGGTGGCTGGTGTCCTTGGTGACCACCTTGACCTCACAGGGTAGTGAGAACTGGGCAGTCAGGTCTTCCAGGCTATATCGCCGGCCATCACTCACCTCCTCCACGAAGCCGCTGGAGAAGTAGAGGGGCAGCACAATCTCTTCTTGGTCCTCTGCCTTCTCTTCACACTCTTCCTCCCCAGCCTGGTCACTGAGCCGAAGACACACCAAGATGTCTACGTCCCTGCCGTAAGCCCCGTGGACCTGACCAGGCCCCACCACCTCCAGCCTGTCCCCCATAGCCAGGGAAGTAAACCCAGGAATCTCCAGCTCATCACCCTCACAGTCCTTCATGGCCACCACCCGGAGTGGCTGGCCTGGCTGGACAGCACTCAGGAGGTCATAGGGCGTGGAGAACTCTCTTGGCCGTCGCCGCAGTTTACCCTTGTAGGCCCCAGAGACCATGAAGTGTCTGGGCATCTTCAGGCCCTTGGACGAGGCCAGGACCCGCCAGGGTGGCAGAGCCAGGCCATAGATGCAGAGCCTCTGGCCTTTCCGCAAAGAGCCCACCCACGGGCTGAGGAAGATGGGGGGACCCGCTGGAACCTCCAGGATCTCCGTGGTCAGGGGGAAGGGGCCTCCCCTGGCTAGGATCTCACTCAGCAGCAGCGGCTGGATGAAGTGGATGTGTTCAGAGGAGGCGGTGACATCCTCCACGTCGACCTCCAAGGTAGAAGGAATGTTGACGATGGTCCTGCGCACTGTGGAGGGGAGAGGTCATCTCAAGGGCAGGGCCACACACCACGTGCCACCTCAGCAGTACACTCTCCACCCTCAGCAAAGAGGTCTGGGCCGGCTGACCTCTTTCCTGTTCTTGTCTTTTCTTTCTAACCAGCATTTTCCTGCTACACCAGATTCCTTGGCTACTCTTGCCTTCAACTTCTTTTTTTTCTAAGTTATTTTAGAAATTATTAAACATTTATAAAAGTAGAGACTAGCATAGTGACCCCATGTAGCCAGCTTCAACACTGAACTCAAAGCTCATCTTTAATTTCTACTCCCATCTATCGATTCCTCCTCCGCTGAATTATTTTGAATCAGAACAATTACATCACACCATCTGTGACTACTTCAGTGCATACCTCTAAAAGAAGGGATGGTTAAAAACTTTAAAAACAGCCACAATGCCATTGCCACATTGAAATAATAATGATTAGTTGATAATTCCTTAATATTGGATATCCAATTGGTTAAACCACTTTTTAAATGTTAATTGAATTTTGAATGTAATTCTGTAAGCTGCCTTTCCAAGTCCTGGATTTAAATAAAGAGATAAAACCAAATCAGGAAAAGCACTGACTAAATGACCTTGGGCAACTTGTTTCCTCTCTGGATTAGTACCTGGTACATAAACTCAAAGAGTGACTGTGATTATGAGGCAAACTGGCCCACCCACTGGGTTGTCTGATCCATGCCACATGGAAGACAGAGCAAGCATATCCTCTACATTTTGCAGATGAGAACACTGAGGCTCAGGGGCAGTGATGACTTCCCTCGGTCACACTGATGGGATTTTTGCTTTGTGCCAAATGAGCTAATAATGGGTTGAAGCTGGGAGATGGGCACATGGGGGGG